CTTCAATGTGAAGAGGGTTTTCTCGGACAAAGTCCGCCGAGTCCTCAGTCTTACTCGTTCAATGTAAGCTATAAAAGGAAACAATATATATTAAAAACTTGCTTCTTCGAAATCACTTGTCTACTAAATTGACCACGCCCGATTTCTAAATTTACAAAGACTTTCAAAATATTAACTTTACTTTTAACAAAAATATTACGTTAATTAAATATATTATTGAATAGATACTATAATGAATTAAACTTATATTTATACGCGAGTACTTACATTATTTGCTTTTGGCTCTAGTGCCCGCTACCTCTTTTAATTCCTATGCTGGCTAGGTAAAGATATAGGTGTACAAATGTTCGCTGTGCTCGCTCTGGCCGCTCTGTTCAAAGTGACCAGTGCACCAGGTAAATTACCCTACATTCAATACTAGGTATTCTATACATAGACAATACGTACTGGACAAACAGGTTTACAACACATTACATCACATCCGCTCAGTACCTTACTCGCATTTACGCGTGCTATTTCCGCGCGCGCGCGCTAAAAGTTTTGCCGCAATGCGTGACGTACAAAATTACACGGAAGGCTGATTTCCGTTACATATGAACGCGTATAGCTAAATACCACAAATATATTAAAAGTAATAATGACAAATAATGACACTACTACACATGGATCATACTTACTGCCTTAAGAATGATTGTTGTGTTTGTTTAATGCAGTACGAACTAGATTTATTAGGTTAAAGTTAAGTCAATGAACAACAAAGAGTAATACTTGTGGATGAAACAGCTATTGGACCAGAAATTCATTTTGTGATAAATTGGTATCATAACTACATCCAACCTCAAGTTAGCTATAAATCTTATGAATTTGGAAACTTGTTTCAACTATGTTGTTTTTAATTTACTTCTACTTACAGTACAAAATTTCAATCTAATGTAAGAAATCTATAAAATTTTGAAAGAAATAAAGATGGATTGATTTTAAACCAAATATTGAAATATTAATGAACCTGTAGCTCGGTGGCTGAAAGGTAACTAAAGGATATGATATAAGATGAAATCTAAGATGGTAACTAGAAACCAGGCTGTAGACTTGATGAGTTGTATTGACTGCAGTATGTCCTGATACTGTGGTATTGACTGCAGTATGTCCCGATACTGTGCTATTGACTGCAGTATGTCCCGATACTGTGCTATTGACTGCAGTAAGTCCCGATACTGTGGTATTGACTGCAGTATGTTCCGATACTGTGGTATTGACTGCAGTATGTCCTGGTACTGTGGTATTGACTGCAGTATGTTCCCGATACTGTGGTATTGACTTCAGTATGTTCCTGATACTGCGGTATTGACTGCAGTATGTCCTGATACTGTGGTATTGACTGCAGTTTGTCCCTATACTGTGGTATTGACTGCAGTATGTCCCGATGCTGTGGTATTAACTGCAGTATGTCCCGATACTGTGGTATTGACTGCCGTATGTCCCGATACTGTGGTATTGACTGCAGGATGTCCCGATACTGTGGTATTGACTGCAGTAAGTCCCGATACTGTGGTATTGACTGCAGTATGTACCGATACTGTGGTATTGACTGCAGTATGTCCTGATACTGTGGTATTGACTGCAGAATGTCCCGGTACTGTGGTATTGACTGCAGTATGTCCCGATTCTGTGGTATTGACTGCAGTATGTCCCGATACGGTGGTATTGACTGCAGTATGTCCCGATACTGTGGGATTGACTGCAGTATGTCCCGATACTGTGGTATTGACTGCAGTACGTCCCGATACTGTGCTATTGACTGCAGTACGTCCCGATACTGTGCTATTGACTGCAGTATGTCCCGATACTGTGCTATTGACTGAAGTATGTCCCGATACTGTGGTATTGACTGCAGTATGTCCTGCTACTGTGGTATTGACTGCAGTATGTCCTGATACTGTGGTATTGACTGCAGTATGTTCCCGATACTGTGGTATTGACTTCAGTATGTTCCTGATACTGTGGTATTGACTGCAGTATGTCCTGATACTGTGGTATTGACTGCAGAATGTCCTGATACTGTGGTATTGACTGGTATATCTTTTGATTCAGTGACAACCAATCTGTACGAGGGTTCACTGGATAAGGACTGTAAGCAGTTCCGTGACAAGCAACTGTTTGGAACGCCCGAGTACATCGCGCCTGAGGTCATCCTCCGCCAGGGTTATGGTGAGTCATATGTATCCTGAAAAGATCGTTAGAGTAGGATATATTTATGCTGCCTTTTCACTTTAAGCAGCCTACATAATCTATTTGTAAGTACACACTTTAGTCATCTCCAAACCTAATGCAAAGTTTTCTTATATTTTTACATGTAAAAACAAGTAATTGATATAATTTTGTTCCTTTTAGTATTATCATTGTGAGTATTTCACTTTGCTTTGTGTTGCTTTCAGACACTCAGATGCTGTTTTTTTTTCAAATGAAGAGAGATAACTCATTATTTTCTCTTTCTTCTACTTGCTTTCAAAATATCAATGGTTTTAGAAAAAAATAATTACAAAATAGGTTAATACTGAATAACAGTTCAGAATGTTTGTGGCTGCTGACACCTAACTTGTTGTTTTTTCCTATTCAGTGTTGTTAAATCAGATGTTGATGTTAATATTTCAGAAGTCCAAAGGAATCCAGGTTATGTTTATTCATTTCAGGCATTTTGTTTAGGTTTGATGTTATCTTTTTACACCGTTAATTATGTTTTTGATGCTGGTCCTGTAAAGAATCACATCTCTATTAACACTACCTACCATCTACCCAGTTTGTACCGTTTTGCCCGGTATGAAATTATTGTGAAGACAGCCTCAAACTTGACATTCCTTTCCTATGTAAGTTGTAGTATGAGATTCCTGCTATTGTTACAGGTAAACCTGTGGACTGGTGGTCGATGGGAATCATCCTGTATGAATTCCTGGTGGGATGTCCGCCGTTCTTTGGAGAGTCTCCAGAGGAACTTTTCTCACAAGTCATCAATGGTAGGCACAAAGTCAACCTGAATTATTATAAACTTTTCAAATCTCAGAATTTCATCATTATAACTGATAATCTGGCACTGAGCTAGTAAGCTTTGTACATGACTTAGTCCTTCTTATACCTTGTACATTAGCAAGTGCAAACAGTCAGGTGTACATGTATGCTCTTTTAAGTCTAGTCCAAAACAGCTAGTGGATCTAACGCTAGTCTTATATTATCAATTAGAAAATTCAACATAAGGATTTTACATGATTTATTAGTCATCCTGTTTCTGAACATGCTGAATTTATAAAGGATAAAAGTTAGGTCAATTTCAAAGACAGTCAGAATCTGTAAAATATTGTAATGAGGTACAGATGCTTGGTCTGATTTGTCGCTTTTACCTGGGATTTTTTGACATTGATGAAATTGTTTGCTTATTATTCCATTAATCTGTAACGCTTAACATCCTTTGACCTATGGCCCTTGCTCTTTGTAGAAGAGATAGAGTGGCCCCAGGAGGACGAGTGGCAGGTACGAGACGATGCACGTGACCTTATCACCCAGCTGCTGCAACACAACTCACTTAACCGTCTGGGAACAGGGGGCGCCAATGAAGTCAAGGAACATATATTCTTCCTGGATGTCCACTGGGAAAGAATCCTCCGGAAAAAGGCAGAGTTTGTGCCAGATTTAGAGGATGATGAGGACACCAGCTTCTTTGACAGTGAGTAAACCCACAATTAAAACACACAGACTTGAAATTGAAAAAAATTATACAAAGACATTAAGAACTAAGGCTAAGGCATCGTAGACAAGATTGTATAGTATAGTGTTCTTGTCAGGGGACAAATTTATGATCGAGAATTTACAATTGGTTTACTGTAAATACTGTGTTTGGTATATGTACATTTGTGAAAATGTTCTTTTTTTTGTTTGGTTTCAGTACTTTAAACTGAAACAGATTTATCCTACAAAAGTATTACGGGTAATTTTGCTCTCACATTTTTTGGTGAATAAAAGGCCAAAAGTAAAAGTAAATTTGCCATTTTACACTATGTATCACTGCCTCAGTAACACTATAAACCATGGGGTAATGTGTTTGTATTGGTAGACATCTGTGAACACCAGACTGTTGTCTGACATTAACTAACTATAACCTGTAAACTTTCCACAAAGAATCGATCATTAGATCTAGAGTTTATTGTGGTTAAGTTAAATAATTTCTATGAAGATTCACGATTCAGGTAAATTATTCTTGGAAGGTTTACAGTGTTCATTGTTTCTATATAATTATGATTAATGAGTTTTGAAATCCAAATTTTTGTTAAAACCCTGAATAAAAAAAATGAAATTAACAATCATGTTTTCAATTTTTTTTTTTTTTTTTGCAATTAGCACGGATGGATCGCTACAACCATGATCTAGATGCCGATGACACAGAAGATGATACTGATGATGTGTTGTTCCAAAGTTTCTCCTCCTGTTCTCCACGTTACAGCAAAGTCTATTCCAAAATAGAGGAACTGCATGAGGTAAGTGGTTGTTTAAAGTATTTTTAGATTGATGTCTGTGTAAATAACTAGTGACAGCAGGTGTAGCTTTGTTTTCAGGTCTTCTTGATCTTTGTACATTAACAAGGAGCCAGGTTAGTCACTGTCTGTATTCCATTGGTTGAGTGGAAATTGGACAAAACTCGTAAAAAAATGTTGATTTTAGAACTTATAACTATATTCAACTGAACTAAAGAGTCAGTAAATGATTTAATAAATACACAGAATTTAAAACAAAGTTAGGATTGATTTTATCTACTAGAAAAGTTTTGAGATTGTTGCTTTGTAACAGCAGAGCAAGGAGAAGGAGAAGGAGAAGGAGAATCGACGGAGACATTCCAGTGCTGATGAAATGCGCACCAGACTGCTGGAGAAACAGGCCCTGGATAGGAAGGATTCCAACCAATCAGAAGGATCGGATTCCTCGGCAGAGATCCAAGGGTACCTGCGTCGCGACACAAGTAGTACACTTGTCGACCCCACAGATCGTAATGATGGTTCTATGAAGCTTGATGAGGATGTGTTTAGCTCACCAGAAAGGTAAATCTTATGGAATACAGGTGATTTGCTTAAATAAGTGCAGTTTTACTTTAGACCTGGATGATTGATAGCTGTGAAATGGCAGCAATTTAAGATGTATAGCACCTGAGTGTAGTATATTTAGCATGTAAGCATTTCTAAAAAGTGTTCCATGCTCTGATATTGATTTTATACCCATGGGAATGCAGATTGTTTATTCCTACAACTGGCCAAGGTTTAGGGTACTCGTAGGCAGACCTACGACTGGCCAAGGTTTAGGGTACGGTACTCGTAGGCAGACCTACAACTGGCCAAGGTTTAGGGTACTCGTAGGCAGACCTACGACTGGCCAAGGTTTAGGGAACTCGTAGGCAGACCTACGACTGGCCAAGGTTAAGGGTACGGTAATCATAGGCAGAGTATTTTGAATATTGTTTCAAATATTGCTCCTGCTAGATTTTACATGATAAGGCCACACCAATTTGAAAAACAGTTTTTCGGGAAATTTTGAAAAAAAAACAGGAGCGAGAGGGTGGATTTTTTTTTTTTTAAGAGATTTATTTTGTACTGGGAACATTAAAATGAAGAATTTACCTGTAATAATGGAAAGCAATGGATGTGTTGCATATATATCTAGAATTCTTACATGGAATAAAATGTTTCACTTGAAAATGATATCCATTTTTCACTGTACATGCATTGTGTATCAAAATAGTTCACATCAGGCTAATTAAATTATGACTGGAATGGTAAAACAAACCTCAGAATCACTCTCACCTGTTCAGAGACTAGAACAAAGCAAGTTTTACCTATTCTATTCAAATCTGGCATCATCATTCTACAAAAATGGTCCTTAAAGGTTCTATGTTATCATATTTAGAATACAGGCCCCAATTCAAATAGTACTTTTATTTTATCTTTGCAATATATAAAACAATGTGTAAAATTAAAAAAAATCTATAGAACTGCCTACATACTAACCTGCTAAGGACCCTTTTCCTTCAGTCCTGTTTGTGTCTTATGCACTGATTTTACCAACATCCTCAAGTGTGATAGAATATTTCTGTTAAGTTATGTGTTTCTTTGTTACAGCACACCACGATCCCAACCTAAGACCAGTACACCGGAGAGCGCAGAAAAGGACAACTCCCACTCAAAGAAACAGGAAATCCGCCCACCCGTTATCAAGAGCATCATTCCCAAATTTGCCATCTCTACCGATGACGACAAGGGACAAGGGATATGCAAAGGTATCTAGGAATGTGTAGACTGACCGGGGCATTTTAAGATAGTACAGAATGACAAATGTGTCCACCTTTGAATGTATTGGAAGTAAAGCTTGGTGGACATGAAAATATTGATATTGGCCTTAATATGCTTGTTAAATCACCACAGAACAGCAAATTAATGACACTGGTCAAACTGTTTGGAATGTCATTAAAGCTTTCTGATTGATATGTTTGCTTGGAAAGATCATTTATATATTAACAAAAAAAAAAAAAAAAAATGGAAAAAGAAACCTGCTAATCTCTTAAACTCACTTCAGATTGACTTTATAAAATATCTTTTTTTTTACTTTGCTCAGTATAACTTTATTAACCTTACATATTTATTATTTGGTTAAACCTGATGTAGATGATTTGACAGATGTGTTTTCAGAGTTATCCCCAGTGGATGAGAACAAGGAGAAGGGAAGCGTGTCCCTACCCAGTACAAGGAAACACCTCCAGAAGTCTGCCTCCACCACCGCCCTAACGCTACTCATACAGCCCACAGGTTAGTATACGACACAGTCTACCCACCACTGCCCTAACTCTACTCATACAGCCCACAGGTTAGTATACTGTCACATTCTTCCCACCACCGCCCTACCTCTACTCATACAGCCCACAGGTTAGTATGCTGTCACATTCTACCCACCACTGCCCTAACTCTACTCATACAGCCCACAGGTTAGTATACTGTCGCATTCTACCCACCACCGCCCTAACTCTACTCATACAGCCCACAGGTTAGTATACTGACACAGTCTACCCACCACCGCCCTAACTCTACTCGTACAGCCCACAGGTTAGTATACTGTCACATTCTACCCACCACCGCCCTAACTCTACTCGTACAGCCCACAGGTTAGTATGCTGTCACATTCTACCCACCACCACCCTACCTCTACTCGTACAGCCCACAGGTTAGTATGCTGTCACATTCTACCCACCACCCCCCTTCCTCTACTCATACAGCCTACAGGTTAGTATACTGACACAGTCTACCCACCACTGCCCTAACTCTACTCATACAGCCCACAGGTTAGTATACGGCACAGTCTACCCACCACTGCCCTAACTCTACTCATACAGCCCACAGGTTAGTATACTGACACAGTCTACCCACCACTGCCCTAACTCTACTCATACAGCCCACAGGTTAGTATACTGACACAGTCTACCCACCACTGCCCTAACTCTACTCATACAGCCCACAGGTTAGTATACTGACACAGTCTACCCACCACTGCCCTAACTCTACTCATACAGCCCACAGGTTAGTATACTGACACAGTCTACCCACCACTGCCCTAACTCTACTCATACAGCCCACAGGTTAGTATACTGACACAGTCTACCCACCACTGCCCTAACTCTACTCATACAGCCCACAGGTTAGTATACTGACACAGTCTACCCACCACTGCCCTAACTCTACTCATACAGCCCACAGGTTAGTATACTGACACAGTCTACCCACCACTGCCCTAACTCTACTCATACAGCCCACAGGTTAGTATACTGACACAGTCTACCCACCACTGCCCTAACTCTACTCATACAGCCCACAGGTTAGTATACTGACACAGTCTACCCACCACTGCCCTAACTCTACTCATACAGCCCACAGGTTAGTATACTGACACAGTCTACCCACCACTGCCCTAACTCTACTCATACAGCCCACAGGTTAGTATACTGTCACATTCTACCCACCACTGCCCTAACTCTACTCATACAGCCCACAGGTTAGTATACTGACACAGTCTACCCACCACTGCCCTAACTCTACTCATACAGCCCACAGGTTAGTATACTGACACAGTCTACCCACCACTGCCCTAACTCTACTCATACAGCCCACAGGTTAGTATACTGACACAGTCTACCCACCACTGCCCTAACTCTACTCATACAGCCCACAGGTTAGTATACTGACACAGTCTACCCACCACTGCCCTAACTCTACTCATACAGCCCACAGGTTAGTATACTGACACAGTCTACCCACCACTGCCCTAACTCTACTCATACAGCCCACAGGTTAGTATACTGACACAGTCTACCCACCACTGCCCTAACTCTACTCATACAGCCCACAGGTTAGTATACTGACACAGTCTACCCACCACTGCCCTAACTCTACTCATACAGCCCACAGGTTAGTATACTGACACAGTCTACCCACCACTGCCCTAACTCTACTCATACAGCCCACAGGTTAGTATACTGACACAGTCTACCCACCACTGCCCTAACTCTACTCATACAGCCCACAGGTTAGTATACTGACACAGTCTACCCACCACTGCCCTAACTCTACTCATACAGCCCACAGGTTAGTATACTGACACAGTCTACCCACCACTGCCCTAACTCTACTCATACAGCCCACAGGTTAGTATACTGACACAGTCTACCCACCACTGCCCTAACTCTACTCATACAGCCCACAGGTTAGTATACTGTCACATTCTACCCACCACTGCCCTAACTCTACTCATACAGCCCACAGGTTAGTATACTGACACAGTCTACCCACCACTGCCCTAACTCTACTCATACAGCCCACAGGTTAGTATACTGACACAGTCTACCCACCACTGCCCTAACTCTACTCATACAGCCCACAGGTTAGTATACTGACACAGTCTACCCACCACTGCCCTAACTCTACTCATACAGCCCACAGGTTAGTATACTGACACAGTCTACCCACCACTGCCCTAACTCTACTCATACAGCCCACAGGTTAGTATACTGACACAGTCTACCCACCACTGCCCTAACTCTACTCATACAGCCCACAGGTTAGTATACTGACACAGTCTACCCACCACTGCCCTAACTCTACTCATACAGCCCACAGGTTAGTATACTGACACAGTCTACCCACCACTGCCCTAACTCTACTCATACAGCCCACAGGTTAGTATACTGACACAGTCTACCCACCACTGCCCTAACTCTACTCATACAGCCCACAGGTTAGTATACTGACACAGTCTACCCACCACTGCCCTAACTCTACTCATACAGCCCACAGGTTAGTATACTGACACAGTCTACCCACCACTGCCCTAACTCTACTCATACAGCCCACAGGTTAGTATACTGACACAGTCTACCCACCACTGCCCTAACTCTACTCATACAGCCCACAGGTTAGTATACTGACACAGTCTACCCACCACTGCCCTAACTCTACTCATACAGCCCACAGGTTAGTATACTGACACAGTCTACCCACCACTGCCCTAACTCTACTCATACAGCCCACAGGTTAGTATACTGACACAGTCTACCCACCACTGCCCTAACTCTACTCATACAGCCCACAGGTTAGTATACTGACACAGTCTACCCACCACTGCCCTAACTCTACTCATACAGCCCACAGGTTAGTATACTGACACAGTCTACCCACCACTGCCCTAACTCTACTCATACAGCCCACAGGTTAGTATACTGTCACATTCTACCCACCACTGCCCTAACTCTACTCATACAGCCCACAGGTTAGTATACTGACACAGTCTACCCACCACTGCCCTAACTCTACTCATACAGCCCACAGGTTAGTATACTGACACAGTCTACCCACCACTGCCCTAACTCTACTCATACAGCCCACAGGTTAGTATACTGACACAGTCTACCCACCACTGCCCTAACTCTACTCATACAGCCCACAGGTTAGTATACTGACACAGTCTACCCACCACTGCCCTAACTCTACTCATACAGCCCACAGGTTAGTATACTGACACAGTCTACCCACCACTGCCCTAACTCTACTCATACAGCCCACAGGTTAGTATACTGACACAGTCTACCCACCACTGCCCTAACTCTACTCATACAGCCCACAGGTTAGTATACTGACACAGTCTACCCACCACTGCCCTAACTCTACTCATACAGCCCACAGGTTAGTATACTGACACAGTCTACCCACCACTGCCCTAACTCTACTCATACAGCCCACAGGTTAGTATACTGACACAGTCTACCCACCACTGCCCTAACTCTACTCATACAGCCCACAGGTTAGTATACTGACACAGTCTACCCACCACTGCCCTAACTCTACTCATACAGCCCACAGGTTAGTATACTGACACAGTCTACCCACCACTGCCCTAACTCTACTCATACAGCCCACAGGTTAGTATACTGACACAGTCTACCCACCACTGCCCTAACTCTACTCATACAGCCCACAGGTTAGTATACTGACACAGTCTACCCACCACTGCCCTAACTCTACTCATACAGCCCACAGGTTAGTATACTGACACAGTCTACCCACCACTGCCCTAACTCTACTCATACAGCCCACAGGTTAGTATACTGTCACATTCTACCCACCACTGCCCTAACTCTACTCATACAGCCCACAGGTTAGTATACTGACACAGTCTACCCACCACTGCCCTAACTCTACTCATACAGCCCACAGGTTAGTATACTGACACAGTCTACCCACCACTGCCCTAACTCTACTCATACAGCCCACAGGTTAGTATACTGACACAGTCTACCCACCACTGCCCTAACTCTACTCATACAGCCCACAGGTTAGTATACTGACACAGTCTACCCACCACTGCCCTAACTCTACTCATACAGCCCACAGGTTAGTATACTGACACAGTCTACCCACCACTGCCCTAACTCTACTCATACAGCCCACAGGTTAGTATACTGACACAGTCTACCCACCACTGCCCTAACTCTACTCATACAGCCCACAGGTTAGTATACTGACACAGTCTACCCACCACTGCCCTAACTCTACTCATACAGCCCACAGGTTAGTATACTGACACAGTCTACCCACCACTGCCCTAACTCTACTCATACAGCCCACAGGTTAGTATACTGACACAGTCTACCCACCACTGCCCTAACTCTACTCATACAGCCCACAGGTTAGTATACTGACACAGTCTACCCACCACTGCCCTAACTCTACTCATACAGCCCACAGGTTAGTATACTGACACAGTCTACCCACCACTGCCCTAACTCTACTCATACAGCCCACAGGTTAGTATACTGACACAGTCTACCCACCACTGCCCTAACTCTACTCATACAGCCCACAGGTTAGTATACTGTCACATTCTACCCACCACTGCCCTAACTCTACTCATACAGCCCACAGGTTAGTATACAACACAGTCTACCCACCACTGCCCTAACTCTACTCATACAGCCTACAGGTTAGTATACGACACAGTCTACCCACCACCGCCCTAACGCTACTCATACAGCCCACAGGTTAGTATACTGACACATTCCACATTTCACAGATATAAAGTCCTTTTATTGAAAGATAAATTATGAAAAGTAATTTCTTGATGCAAATATGATGATTTAGTGCTTTGGTGTTATACATATTTGTGTGGTGAAATAAAGTGCTTGTTAATTACTGGTCTTAGTAAAACATGCAATTTATGATATGGGAGAAAGTGATTCATTCTTCTCTATCTGGACCATTATTAACATAGAAGTATTGGTGAAGTATACGTTACTAGTTCAAATTAGTTTTAGTCATTCTTGTTCTATGTTAATTGATTCAAATTCAGATCTCTCCATTATGGCCTTTTAACAATTACAGTGTTACATTTATACCAGACAGTGTTGTTTTGATTGTGGTTTCGTGGTTATTGAGGGCTGTTTAGGATGAGACAGTTTCCTGCAGTGCTTGATTCACAGAAGTCTTTCCCCTCCATTCAGTTGATGGATTTTCTTTGCATGTTCATAGTACACTTCTGGTCACTACTGGTTGGACTTCGTGGGGAATAGTACAGCAACCAATAAGAGCATTTTTCATAGGTGATTGTTTATTGTGATAAATCTGTGGTTTCTTCATTCAATTAATGTCTTAGTTTCAAACTCTGACTGCAGGAGTTTTTTTTATTAATAGTGAGCCAGTGAAGCTATACAAAAATACTTAATGCTTTGTGCAGATCACTGGTGTTAGAATATTTTCATGTTTCACACAACAGAGAAAACAGGAGAGCTGTTTATTAGGAATAAAGCTATAAGTACATGTAACCTTTATTACAAGGCCACATATATATTGAACAGGACTTTGAAACATGGAGGTTTTATTGTGATACCTATTGTACTGTAAGATGCAGTAGGGTTTAGAATGTTACGTGCAGTTCACTTGGAGTGGATTATGTTCAGACTTGTAGCACGCTAAGTTCAGACTATAAACTGTAGTGCATTATGCTCCAAGGGATGTGGCTCTACTTGGGTCTCTCAGTATTTGGTTGACCTCTGAGGTATATTTTTCAGACAAAAGTTTACAAATGATTTTTCAACTGTGATTTTCCAGATGACTTCATGGCTGCACCAGTGACCTCCCCTGGATCAAGCACAAGTTCTCGCGATGGTTCACCATCCAGGGACGTCTCGCCGCTCGCCCGCAACCTCAAACCACCGACCATCATAAAAAAAGGAGCACGTGGGTTTGGCTTCAACATACACACAATTCGTGTTTACCAGGGTGACACTGACATATACACTCTGCAACACATTGTCGTGGTGAGTGGGAAACAACTTCAATAAGATGCTGTAGATTTACTATATATATAGATCAGATAAGTGTACCTGGTACCTTGTCTTTCAGTGTTTCATTGAAAATATTTCAGGGCCATTGTTTGATATGGTAAATGGTATTAACTGTGACATTGTTTTGTCTGCCGTTGTCATTTGGTTTTAGTTTTTCCTGAAAACAAATTCAACTTTACTCCACAAAAAATCATGTATATATTGGGTGATGTTTTAAAAAAAGATGTGTACATAAGGACCAATTGTAGGTATTTAATAAAAAGCTAAACCTACATGTATCTTTGTCTTACATAGCCGGTAACACTAGTTTATTGTACAAATGTATTGTACATCCCCCTGTGTGTAAAACACTCTTGGATATGTACCTCCCTACAATAATCTTGTATTATCTATTATCACATGGCTCTTGTAGAAGATCTGTACTTTATTACTGAAATAGGGATATACATTGATAATCAGTGTTCTAGCTGGAATTATGTTGCTGGAGTCTCTGATGTATAAGCAAAAAAACTTGAACATTTTATAATTATTTTGATTGACTTTTACCATTTATTTGATTATGCATATATGATATGATAGGTTTTCAGTTTAATATGTAATAGTACAGAAACCTTTATAAACATTTCTTTAGCAATATTTGTTTTTGTTGTTTCAGAGTGTTGAGCAGAACAGTCCGGCATTTGAGGTGGGACTGCGACCAGGTGATCTGATCACACATGTTAATGATGAACCAATCCAGAGCCTGCTACACACACAAGTTATCAGCCTAATCCTGAAGGGCGGAAATGTTGCTCACATTCGCACTATCCCAATGGAAAGCACCACCATCAAAACGGTGCAGAGCAAGCGACGCAGCCACCCTGGAAAGATGGCCCGTCGATCTAGTCAGCGCAAACGACAGGAACGCAAGGGGGAGAAGAAAAAGGGTCGGTCACTGTTACGTCGTCTCAGTTCTAAAAGGACGGACCACCAAATCCTTCCAAGCTCGCCTCTGACTTCATCGCGATCGTATTCCTCCAGTACTTTCAGTAAGTCATGGTCATGTGGAGACAGCACACCAGGGTTAGGGAAGGCCAATCGGTCTTTACCTATCTCCATGCCTTGGTCACCTGACTCCTCTGCGGCCAACTCCTCCACAAGCTCCTCTCCGAGCTCATCAGCTCCGAACTCCCCAGCGAGTTCCTCACAGTTCTGTCGCCCAAGCTCCCTACATGGACTCAAGCACAAACGTGCACAGAGCCTCAAATCTCCACATCGTCGTAAGTCAGTGCATAACATCCCTCTGTCTCCTCTAGCTCGAACGCCATCTCCCTCCCCAATGCCACCTGCTTCTCCAACGCGAAGCCCAAGTCCTCTTGCTCTTGCCCATGGGCACCAGATCGGCAGCTCTAACATGGTACAGCAGACTATACCATCTCACCTCAACTCGTCAACGCAGGCTCAGGCCACAACACCTGTCGCTAGGAAGCCGTCGTTCACGCGTCCCAAAAGCTGTGAGCCAGGCTCCCCATTACTACGCAGAGCGTTATCACCCGATCGGCTCCACCCAAACTCTGCTGAGAAAGTAACAGCTGCACAGAGAAAGGCATCGCTACAGGAAAAGAAGAGTAGTCTTTCAGACGCTCTATGACATTAATGTTGTGATCATTCTCGTGTCAAAGGAATTAATGTTCTAAGGGCTTAACTGCAATCTTTGTGTTTGTGATGTGCGTGGTGAGATTGGCTACATCTGACAGTCAGAAATGTTTGTGATGTGCTTGGTTAGATTGGCTACGTCAGACAGTCAGAAATGATTGTGATGTGCTTGGTGAGATTGGCTAGGTCAGACAGTCAGAAATGTTTGTCATTTGTCTGGTTAGATTGGCTACGACAGACAGTCAGAAATGTTTGTGAATTGTCTGGTTAGATTGGCTACGTCAGACAGTCAGAAATGTTTGTGATTTGCGTGGTTAGATTGGCTACGTCAGACAGTCAGAAATGTTTGTGATGTGCGTGGTGAGATTGGCTACGTCAGACAGTCAGAAATGTTTGTGATGTGCTTGGTTAGATTGGCTAGGTCAGACAGTCAGAAATGTTTGTGAATTGTCTGGTTTGGCATTGTTACGCAATTGGGAATATCTGTGATGTGCATGATTTGGTCCGTGATGAAGTTCAGGTTGAGATTTCTGTAAAATGCTAATCAGCAGGAAGTGATATGTAGCCTTGTTGTGGAGTATATTACTATGATATGACTGCTCTTTTCTTGTAACAGTTGATGAATCAATGTGCCCACATTCAGGTGTTCAACAATGTTTTGTTTCCAGACTTAACATGGTGCTGTGTAAAAGGCTTCCCAGGACTGGTACTTCTCACCGTCTAGGCTAGCTACGAGATGTAAACTATTTCCTAAGACTGGTGTTTCCTACTGATGGAGGAAACAATGAGATGTAAATATGGTATCTTATACCAACCAGGGAAACAGCAAGGTGAAAACCGATTGTCACTATGAGTGTGTGTTAAATTACAAATACCAGGCAAGAATGTCAGTGTTAAAGGCCTCAGTTCTGGATTATCTGAAGTGAATGGTGTGAACTATATGGAGAGTGTGATGATGGCTTTGTATTCAGTCGAGAAGCTCTGTTAACACAGGAGGAATAATAGTTATCTTTATATATATGCGTACTGTTAACCTGTGCTGCACAAACTTGTGTTCATGGAACAAATCGTAACTTATTATTCATAAATTGTATTCATTGTTTACCAGATGTAAATCATGTGATATTTGTGTATGTTTGAGTTGTGTATATTATTATCATCTTGCCTGTGATTCAATTGTACTACTATGTGCTTTCATCAGTGCCCGCATAGAGTCTGCGTGTTGGGACGACTAATCGGGTGAGGTTGCCAGCTTGGCTAGGTGACTATTGTTGGAGATGACAGTAGAATGGCAAGCTTATATATGTATATAGAATACAAGAAGAATACTCAGCTGTTTTGTAAATTGTAATATGATGCTTAAGAATTCATTTCAAGTTAACATTGTTTCATCCAGTCAGCTGTGTTGCTGTGACTGGTCCACATACTCAAGTGATTTCATTCAGTCATACTAGCTGTTCAAATTCTGATCAACTTTAATAATAAAAAGCTTGTGAAAATGTGACATCTGTGATTTTTCAAAAAAAGGTTAAGGCGGTGCAGGTTGCTGATGGTAAAATAAGTTTCTGACTTTCTTGAATATTTTGGGGGGGGCATCAGAAATTTAGAAAATTACTTGGCAAAGGAATTCTTAACGATCATTGAAGGGAAGAAATAAAACTGTTACATTAAAGTCTAATGTATTTATCAAAGGAAATCATTTAGAAAGTGTTATTTGATTGGCTAAGTAAATCAGAATTTGAACAACTGATCTGGCATGGTTCTCATGTATCATTTAGCTGAAGTTCAGTCGGTAGTTTTACAAGTCTTTGTAACAATTACAGTATGATTGATGTAACTAGATTTACTTGTATTTAGTTCTGTCCGTATTGATTTTATCACAGAAGTTACGAGTGATTCCTAAGATTACACTAATGCTTAAATAGATGTTGAAATATTGTGATAACTTGTGATGTTGTATCAAGTATTATGTCGACTCTTTATATTGAGACAAACTTGTAGTTTATGGTGTATCTTTTTTCTGATAAATATGTAATAACACAAACACTTACCAGCATTGTTACCTTCACAAGAAATTTTACATAGTGAAGTACCCAAATTATCTTTTTAGTCACTATAGAAACCATTATAGTCCCTTCACAAAATTAAATAGGAACCACAATATAACCTTCAATACACTCAACACGGAAACCCTTATGTAGGCTTCCCTTCAGTCACCATAGAAACCATTATATACCCTTCCTTTCAGTCACCATGGACACAAGGATATAGGCCCCTTCCCTTAGGTCACCAGACAATGATATACCCTTCTCTTCAGTCACCATGGACACAATGATATAGCCTTCTCTTCAGTCACCATGGACACAATGATATACCCTTCCCTTCAGTCACCGTGTACACAATGATATACCCTTCTCTTCAGTCACCATGGACACAATGATATACCCTTCTCTTCAGTCCCCATGGACACAATGATATACCCTTCTCTTCAGTCAACATGGACACAATGATATACCCTTCCCTTCAGTCACCACGGACACAATGATATACCCTTACCTTCAGTCACCATGGACACAATGATATACCCTCCCCTTCAGTCACCATGGACACAATGATATACCCGTCTCTTCAGTCACCATGGACACAATGATATACCCTTTTCTTCAGTCACCATGGACACAATGATATACCCTTTTCTTCAGTCACCATGGACACAATGATATACCCTTTTCTTCAGTCACCATGGACACAATGATATACCCTTTTCTTCAGTCACCATGGACACAATGATATACCCTTCTCTTCAGTCAACATGGACACAATGATATACCCTTCCCTTCAGTCACCACGGACACAATGATATCCCCTTCCCTTCAGTCACCGTGTACACAATGATATACCCTTCTCTTCAGTCGCCATGGACACAATGATATACCCTTCTCTTCAGTCCCCATGGACACAATGATATACCCTTCCCTTCAGTAACCAGGGACACAATGATATACCCTTCCCTTCAGTCACCACGGACACAATGATATACCCTTCCCTTCAGTCACCACGGACACAATGATATACCCTTCCCTTCAGTCACCATGGACACAATGATATACCCTTCCTTTCAGTCACCATAGTAACCATGATATACCCTTCCCTTCAGTCACCATAGTAACCATGATATACCCTTCTCTTCAGTCACCATAGTAACCATGATATACCCTTCCTTTCAGTCACCCTAGTAACCATGATATATCTTTCACTACAGTCACCATGACACAATGATATACCCTTCCTTTCAGTCACCATAGTAACCATGATCTACCCTTCCCTTCAGTCACCATAGTAACCATGATATACCCTTCTCTTCAGTCACCATGGACACAATGATATACCCTTCCTATAGGCATCATGTTGACAATCTTAGACCTTTCACTACAGACATCATTGAATAGTACTGTGGTCAGTCTACGAGAAGCTTGGTCACCTGAAAATAACATTCAGGCCTCCGTTGCCCAAAGGTTGGTTAGAGTTAATCAGTGGTTAGGAAAAAAATAAAATAATTAAATCAAGAACAGATTTAAAACTTACAGATTCAAAAAGGTTTAGACAAATAAGATTGATGTGTTTTAAGGATTATATTTGAAAGCTTTTGTTTCTTATTGGTAACCATTTGAATTTTTCACTATCCACTGGTTAAAATTAACCAACCTTTAAGCAACCAGGACCTGTAGATTTTAGCCACTGATCAGTCTAAAATGGAACAAACATTTCTGTTTCAATTTTATTTCTAATCATCAATTTTTGCCACCTCAAACAATCGACAAAGTTTTGACCTGTTATTGTAACGACAAGATAACTTCTTTATAACCATATAAAAAATAAGTATTTGCCTACACTGTACCTGCTAGCAGAGATATTTTTACCTGCCATATTTATACATAAGTATATTGTCATTGTCATCATTTAAATTTCTATGAGACAATCTCCATTAATATTGTATCAATCCACCGACCATGACCTACAGTTAACAACCTTGACCTTTACAACATACGACCTTGACTGTTACAATGTACGACCTAGACTTGCAATATGACCCAGACCATTATAATGTACAACCCTTGTCATTACATTGTATGACTTTGACTGCTATAATACCTTGATGCTCTCTGACCCATGACCCCTGACCTCCGACCTCTGGGTCGGTGTAGGTTGTTTGTTCTGTTATAAATATATGTACTATTTATTGATGTAATTTATTTGTAGTAGATAATAGATTCAAGAAATATCTTGGACAGAAACGCATTACATTTTTATCTGTCAGAATTTTGTAAATTTGTAAATTTTGAAAATTTAATTATATGTTGTTTGTCACTTGATATGAATGGAGAGTTTTAAATATTTATGTAAGATATTGAGGTATAGTGTAAACAAAATGATCTGTCGTTGTTGTCAGAACTAGAGTTGAGTTGAAGAATAAACAGGTAATAATAAACAACATGGTGGATAACAAATCACTCCCGAGAAATGGAAGTTCTGTTCACCTGAAATGGTAATTATTTTATGGAGCAGGATTACTATTATTAGCCGGACCAATTCCAAACTAGTTTCGTCTTTTCTCAAATTTGTCAGGACTAATTCCCAATTTGAGGATTGGGATGGAGATAGGAGAAAAAATGTTTTACAATTGTTCCTATGTTTGAATGATTTTATCCAATTTTGTCCAAGGATTCACTTCAAAAAATATTTAGATACCCTGACCAATCCCTGCATGATGAATTATTATGGTAAAATGAAGACATTGATTACCTGTTAAATGCATATGAAATTAATGTGCATTATTAGCATGTTTCTTTAGGAGTTATGACCAGACCTGTTTGAAGTCCAGATCGAAAGGAGAACTCAACAACTGGAATAGTGTTTTATATAACTTTCTTTTATAAAATTAATTCAGTAATGAAAAAAATTGAGAGTAATTAACTTGTTACTAAAAGTATATAAAACTCTTATCGTAGCAATTAGTCTGTTGCTGTAACAGGCTGATACAATTGAAAACCAATCTGATATATAAACTCAATAGGAACAGCTCTAATGACAGGTCGTTCTGTTTACATGTTGACACTGTTTGTGATATAAGAGTGTGTTGAGTGCGTTCTTACTCAGTCCAGGTTTCGAAGCTGTTGTGTCAGCTGTCTGTTGTTTTTGATAATCCTAATAATGTCTGTCTGTCCATCAGTTTTGATCGTAGTCTTTGTTACACGTGAATCATGATCAATATTAGTTATATGTTGGTTATATATTGAGAAAATGTTAAGTATTTTTGTTTATCATCCTGTTGTGTCGGAGGTAAATGTGTATATATGCTGTGTACATAGCACTGTAGATACCACTTTTTATTTGAACTCTGCTCAGATTTGATCTCGCTGTGGTTACTTGTGCTGTTTGTGATTAGTGACATTGACGTACTGTGCTATAAATTCTCACCTATTCACATTGGACTCATCTTGCCTTTTTTGTTCATCAAAGGAATAACTAATTTAGTGAAACCTTGTTATACTGCACCATTTGGCTGACAACATTTTGGCATTGGTTTTATACATTACTTATAATTATTATATCAATGAAAATGTACATAAAAATGTCAAAAAATAGGAAGAAGAAAATCAGAAAAAGGGACCTTGAGACATGTTAGGGGTAGTTAGGTGAAGAACATTATTTAACAACATCACACACTACAAACCCACAAGTATGTTTGGCAAAAGTATGTTTTAATTGTCTCAAAGTGCCTGCAAACTTATCAGAATATTTTCCTTTAAAAATTACTTGATACTTGACCAGGGGTGGATGTATACCAAGATGGCTTAAAGGAATGGTCTTGAAACACTTGTCTTCTAATGTCGAAACTTGAAGAATTTATTGAAAAGATAAAGAAAAGCCAATAGTAAAAGTATTTGACTTGAAGCATGCTTGAGTGAAGAGCTATATCAGGTCATTAAATGAATGACCTTGGCCCATTTTAAGGTCACATGTGTGAAATGGTCAAAACCTCTTGAAATTTGGTATTCAGCTTTGCTGTAGCAAACAGATATCAGAATTGTTAAATTAACTTGACAAATTTCCAAGTTCACAGTGGTGAAATGATTCTTAAACAGGGTGTTTATGGCTTCATGATATTTGTCCTCGGGCTTGTCATGGTAAAGGATTTTCAAATTCATAGCAAGATCATCAGAAACAAATTAAAGTACTATTTGTAAAAACATCTACAGACCAATGATGCTTCGAGTCATATCTGGAACCTAGTTTCTTTGAGGTTTTCGAAGGCTGTATCGGTTGAATCACTCGACAACATTCAAATAATTCTGTTGTGGAAGAGAATGATCAACAAGTGGACTCCTTTCCTGAGAGTACTTCAAGGCTCAAATGGAGGATAACTCTAGAATGTCGACACTTTCCCGGGAGTACTTCAAGGCTCAAATGGAGGATAACTCTAGAATGTCGTCACTTTCCTGAGAGTACTTCAAGGCTCAAATGGAGGATAACTCTAGAATGTCGACACTTTCCTGAGAGTACTTCAAGGCTCAAATGGAGGATACATGTAACTCTAGAATGTCGACACTTTCCTGAGAGTACTCCAAGGCTCAAATGGAGGATAACTCTAGAATGTCGACACTAAAATTAGAAGATGTTAATTTCTTAATCGGTCGATAATGCTAATATCCTCAATGATACTGTAATACCAATTTCGTCCTCACAAGGGAGAATGTCACATACATACGTGATAGCAGAGAAAGGCCGAACTGTGATAAAGATAACATTATCGTGAATGAAAGAGGTGTTACAAAGCTTCTTAAAATAATCAAAGCGAACGAAACAAAAAGACTTGATAATATTGCTAAGAATTCTCAAAGAACTAGTGGAGGATTGAATGCCTCCAACACCTTCAGCGTCTGTTGTTGAGAAGACGTATCATAGATGACGGGAGAGAGGTATACAACTATAACTACTGGTCAGTCTCATTATCTGGTTTAAGATCCAGCACAATGTGCTGATACACTAGACAAGGGCAGGATCTTTATCGACTGCCGACGTGGTTTCAGGCCAAATGTACATGTAGCTATCAGCTATTAGACACAACATAATCAGAAACTTTGATCAAGGTATCCAGACTCTTTGTATTTCTGGATTTACTTTTAAGCAGGTTTTTAATCGATTGTCAGATCAGCGACTGTTTCAAAATCAAGCTCCATCTTTATGGCATCGGAGGTTGATCCAGAATTTCCCCCGAGACAGTTCAGGTAAGTGTGCAGGGATCGTCGGAAGAAAAAAGGCACTTTTAATCATCAGCGTTGTTTCACGGTGGAAACAACCAGGGCCGCTTTATTTCCTCTTGATCCCCTCGACCTAGCGATATTCTACTAGGGTGTGCTACCTTCATCAGTAGGATCAAAAGCGGGACATGGACTTCGATCTTATAAATGTACCATGTTGATAACTAGCTGAAAGATGAGACTTAAAAGAAACGTGTTCCACCAAATATCGAGGTATGGACATATTAGACCTCTCAAGGATGGAAACAGGATCTGCAAAAGAGTCAAAAGCTTTATGAACTTTTCGAGAGGAACTGGAAAATCTCCAGTACTATATAACTTGA